CAGGAAGAGGGCTGCCTGGAAATGCTTCTTCCATGTAAGAGATGCCTGTTGTCATATGAAAGTTAGAAAATGCTGTTCCCTCTTCATGGCTTAGTTCACTGCTGATTTAAAAATAAACTGTGGAAAAGCCAGACAAGCAAAGCAGTCAAGGGTTTCCATCCACCATGGGCCAGATTCAAGACCAATCTGTGTTCTGGGTACCCACACATACCTTAACGTGCTGTGTCCGCTGAAGTAACCTGCGGTAAAGACTTCTTGTTTTCTCATACTCCTCTTGCTCAATTTCAAAGTCAATGTAGGACTTCCAAAGAACCTGCGGAAGAGAAGTCTCTCGTTATGTTAACAGAACACTGAGATGATGGGGGAGGAACAAAACAGAGCAGGAGCAGGGACAAATGTGAAATCCCTCTAAAAAATGTTTCAGACATGCGAGTAGGAACTGCCTGCAGGAGCAAGGGCTTACAGCAGTGAGCTGAATGGATCATGTGCACAAGATCTGGTCCTGCCTGGTCACAGCCCTTGCTCCTGCAGGCAGTTCCCCTCCATGTTCTATCATGGGGTTTTCAGTCCTGTGTACCCTGCTAAGACACAGATGCTAAATTAATGAGACACAGGCTAAGGCATTCTGAGCAGCTCTGTTCAGGCCAGGAGATGAGTTACATTTAATAAGCCATAACATGTAATAAATACCTTTACATGGTGCCTGTGTGGAGCAGCTGCCCCCCCTTACCTCGGGCATGTCCAGCCGGGGCTGGCCAATTGCCAGCTCATATATTGCACGGGCCCGGTCGATGTCCCCCAGGATGGTCTCCAGTTCTGCAAACTTAATCCAGGAGGTGCAGTTCTCTGGGGCAAACTCCAGGAACTTCTCATAGAGCTTTCGGCAGCGATCGAATTCTCGCAGCTGTAACTCCAGTTCAATGTACCCTTTGAACAGTTTGTTCTTCGGACATTTACCAATGGATGTGCCCTGGGAAGAAAAACCCACTTAAAGACCTGGCAAAGAGGAAAACCCCACTCTCTTTTCTCAGTGTCTCTTTGCCCTCCAGTATTTGAACTGAAATTCACTTTTGAGCAGAGTTTGGGTTTTAAGTCTCTGGCCAGGGCCAGTCTGAATCCAACCAATGTCTGCAAAATGAGTGTGCCTCCATAAACATCAACAGCAACTCTGAAAGCAGAAAATCTTCTAACTTGCTACACTTGTACATAACACGACTGCCCACAATGTATTCATTGACACTCACCCCAGCTCATCAAACAAACACTTCATCTTGCATCAAAAGCTAAAACAAACATAGTACCAGGCTGCACCAGTTCCCAAGTATATTACAAAACAAACTGTAACACAAGGAACTGTCTCCTGGACCACCACGGCTATTCACCATCACAGAGCACTGTCCACACTCCCTGCCTGCTCACTTATGGTAATGGATAGATGGAGAATCATGTTTTCAAAAAATACTTCCTTTTTGGTATGCTTCAGCATCTGAAGAAACTTATGTGTCCTAAGCCATGGTGCCAAGCTGGGAGGAAGCAGTTTCTGATTCTTAATCTGGGAATCTTTTAAAGCCAGTTAAGAATGGGCAATATTTGAGACTGGTACGTGGTAAGCCTCATGCTTCGAGTCACTGGGAAAACAAAGAATCCACACACCATCTGCAGCAGACATGAAAACAAGGCAGAGGGTAAGGCAGAAAGGTCCGTCTCAAGAGGCTTAACTACCACACTGGGGCAGACTGGTCCAGTGTCAGCTACAGAAGGGCACTCATTTATGCTCTTGCCACTACTGTGTCATGAGTTTGGTAGAAACCCATCAGCTTCCTCTTCAAAATCAAATCACCCAAACTACTACCAACACCGGCTTCCTCTCAGAATTCCTAATGCCATCACTGAGCTTATTTAGAATGTCTGAACCGAAGGGAAAGTTTCATTGCAAAAGGTTTTGCTGCCAAAATGTACTCCACTGTTCTCCGACATGCTGACATTCACATAGTGAATTTGCACAGAAGATCTTGAGCCTGCCCAAAGTCCCTGTGATGGCTTTTATCAGCAACCTTGTAGCTGTTCTATTCAGTAGCAGTGTTCTATTCAGTGGATCTTCATTTCCAGGAATCAGGTTAGATATAAGGAAGAAGTTCTTCACAGTGAGGGTGCTGAGGCACTGGAATGGGTTGCCCAAGGAAGTTGTGAATGCTCCAACCCTGGCGGTGTTCAAGGCCAGGTTGGACAGAGCCTTGGGTGACATGGTTTAGTGCAAGCTGTCCCTGCTCATGGCAGGGGCTTGGAACTAGATGATTTTAAGGTCCTTTCCAACCCAAACCATTCTATGATTCTCCTGTTTATTTCAAATGCTTTTTAAAATATTATTGTTAGTGCAAGTGTCACTGAAACAAACCAGCAGCAGTTAAACATTTCCAAGTGCACTAAGCTGATTTGGGTGCTCCTGCATTCAGATGTGTGTTGTGTCAGCTGAAACCAGAAAGCTGCACTCAGGCTCCCCATGGCTAATCATCATACCAAGATACGCTTCTTTTTAAATCATACATGACAGTGAACACTGGTCCCTGCAGGCTTCTCAGATGCTCTATTTAAGTGGATTAAACCAGCACCTTATAAAGGACAATTTAAGATCTTTTAATCCCATTCCCTTGGTACTGTTAGTTAGTGAAGTCTATTATGGACTTAACAAAAGCTTACCAAAGCTCTTCTGGCAAGTGGAAGATTTTTCTGGCGTATTTCAAACTGGGCATACAGCAGCCACATTTTGGCAAATGTAAACTGAAAGAAAAAGTACAATGTGATGCTTAGACTGGAAGCTTATAAATGACACTGCATATATTCTTAAAAAAATGATCATTCTGTCTGGGTCTGTATGTTCTATCTGTCTTGTCTGCACAAGGAGTTACTGCTACTGCTGTTAATTCCTTCTAACCTCAGTGCTTTCCTGCTG